AACGGATAGAAAATACTCTTTCTATTGTATAAGAAGAACGCACATCACCAGAGTCTAATACAAATCTAGAGGCACTAAAGCACTTTAGAAATATAATAATAAAACCTCTATATGTTGATAAAAGCATGAAGCGACTACTTATCTTTTTTAAATTCCTGTATTAAAAGAATCACAAGGAATAGACTGTCCTCTACCTCTCCACACCCTCCTTGGGACAATGTTCTTATCAGAAAACAAAGGAAAATTGAGATGTCCTTAAGTATTGAAAGACAGTACTCTGTAAACAAATGTAATTTTACAAGCTGACTCATTTCTCAGATGGTAAATGCTAGATAGTAAACAAGTTTCTAATTATGAACTAAAATTAAGTTCCTACCAGTTCTAGATCAAACTTCAGAGGCTCTGTTGAAAAAGAGAGAAAAAGTTTGAAGACTTCCTCCCTGCTCAGGTATGTGGGGAGCCCCAGTTATAAAGGTTGTAGATTTGCTTCCAATTTTGCCTCAATCTTTTAAGCAAATGTGTCCCCCCTCTGTGAAGGCAGGGGAGGGAGCATTTTGTCTGCATCTCTCTCTAGAATTCCCTAGTCAAGCACAAAGCCTGATACAGACATGAAAATTAATTGTTTATTGGAAATGCCTGGAAAAGCAGTTCTTGTCAGGGCTCTGAGACTTAAAAATGTGCACATGCTTTTAAAATAGTCAAAGGGACGATAGCATAAGAGTGATGAGAAAGGGTATTTCTGAACCTTTTTCCTTATTTTTCAGGGTATGATGAGTCTTGGTGTGGCCCTGTAGGTTAATGCTCAGGACTACAAGGTTAGTTTGAACCACAAGATTGGTGGCTCAAGTTCACCAGGTGCTTCTCAGAAACCCTATACAGGTTCATTGTGGGTCAGAATCGACTTGAAGGCAGTTCATAACAAGGGCCAAGAGAATCTAACCAAATGCAAGCAAAGCCAACAAAAACTTATCTTAAAATCTCAAAGGGAAGACCAAGCAGGCCCCCAAACTAAACATGGCTGCCCTAGAGTTGTTTCAGACTCTGGTAGGTTTGAACCGTCAGCCTTGTGGTTCAAACTGACCTTTTAGCCCAGTGCTTATCCTATAGTGCCACATCAGGACTCCAAAACTTTATAAAATCTGAACAACCAGCCTGAGGCACCCTGGGAAACATGACTGGCAACTGGGAGATGCATTTTACACAAAAATGAGTAGAAATGTGACTTTGGGGGATTGTCCTGAGACTCATTAAAAATCATGTGCTTTTGGTACAGAACCGCAAAACTCTCCTTATAATCCTTGTACAGGTATGCTATGAATCAGAACCAACTCCACAAACACCCTTCAACTTGAAGTCGCCACCCTGAAATCCGGCACACAGTAGGCCACTGTTAAAAGCAGAAGTCTCAATTGCTAACTCCACACCAGTTTAGCACAGGAGAGATCAGTGAAAACAAAATGTTGATTATGCACAAAAATAATGATTCATCAAAATTCCATCCCTTAGTAAGTCCTCCCTGTTGTTGTCCCCGGTGAAGTGCCGTTGAGTCAATTCTGACCCACAGCAACCCTGCATAGATTTCCAAGGAGCGGATGGTGAGCTTGAACCACTGACCTTGTGGTTCCAAAGGACTTTGCAGTCCAATGCATTAGCCCACAGCACCAAATTAGGTTAGCTATAAACCTGGTGTTTTATCTTCACTGTAAGGTGTTGGTGTGTGCGGGGGCATACACAAGCTGAAAACCCACTGAAGGTCACACAGCTGAAAGCCATACAAACCTTACTTTTAAAACCTTACCCAAAACGACAAACAAACCCCACTAACTTTCAGACACCAATCCAACTTGACATTTTAAGGAGATAATCACTTGACTTCCAAGATGGTCCCCCAGCCACCCCCACGCCATGGGGAAGCCAGCGAGGAAGGGCACAATGAATACCTGATGTGTGGCCGAGATGCTCAAAAATCACAGAATGCATTTATTTCTTCATTCAATTTCTTTTTAATGAGCAAAGTCCCTCTTCCTTTCAGAAACCCAAATCTAATATACAACATAATCTCTCTACAACTTTAACGTCAATAATTTCCTTCATGCCCTGTTTTTAATACACAAGTGCCGTAGTTCCCAGAACTCTTTCAGCTGGAGTAAGTCATTTCAGTTTAGAAATGGGGGCTCAGCAGTTATTTGAAACTTTGGAATCTTAATGTGGAAGGTTGTAATCCAGTTTAGCACAAAGAACATTTGAAACTCTTTTGAGAAAATGCTAATTTTCTGCATGTAGCTAGTCTTCTGACCACCTGCAGATTTTCAGATTTGCTAATTAATTGATTGCCAAGAAGTCCTGGTGTGGCACTATACCCCAATGGTGATTTGAACCCCAAGTTCAAACCCTGCACAGGGTCGCTGAGTTGGAAACAAATCAACAGCATGTAATCATAACCAACTGCGATGCTTCCATTTTTCTCCCCTCAAAAAATGTGTTCTTTAAAGGTGGGTCACCAACGGGTTTACAAAACTTAACACCAACCCAATCTTAACATTAAAAAAAAAAAAAAAAAAAAAATCATCTATGTGTATTTAAGGTAATAAATTGCAAACAACCAAAATGCAATGCTAAAAATGTTCAGCCATGGCTAGGAGGCAGGCTTGCAGAATGTGCCCTTTGTTTATTTATATATTCCTGAGTGTTTTTGTGTATGCCCCCCCAAAAAAATGGGAAATGGAAGCAAATACTGTTGAATGATGATACACAGAGACTGTAATCATTACAATGAAATGATGGTGTAAAGCCGATGTCCTCTCATTTAAACTATCATTCAGTTCACAATAAAAACTTAAAAAAAAAAAAAGTACAGCCTTGGAAAACCAGCCTCCACCCCAAAGCGGCACCTAGAGACATTGCCAACATTTTCTAAGGTTGAGGAATTATTTCCAGTAATTCCAAAGACTTGGGGAGATAAGGGCACAGCCTGAGACCGCGCAAACAGCTGGCACAAATCCAAAGGGGCATCCATCCTTGGCCCAGCCCGCTCCATTAGGCCTGCATCCCGTCCCACCTACAGGTGTGATCTGGTACCTGCAGGAGGACCCGCATCCTAGAGCAGAGCGCGGCTGCACGCTGGGCCTCCAGGGGGCGCCCGCGCGCAGCCAGTAGGTCCCCTTTAACTCCTGCGCTCAACAGCGGACTACCTCTCCGCACCCACCCCCCACCCAAATCATTGTGGGAATGCACAACCAGGCGGGAGATCATAACCCGATTCAGGATAACTTGGACTTGAAACTCCCATTAGTGTTATTAAGAAATCCTCCTGTAACAAGTTGTCCTCCATCCCGTGAAAATCACCACCAAAAAGCACCGTGTGTGCGCCCACCCAAAATGACCGAGGTAGGGGGGAAGGGATGATCCAAGCAGGACCAGGGGAGGGGTCAGCGGCCGGAGCTCGCCCCTCCTCTCCAGAGGGAGGAAGCGGGCTGGGCGACGGTTAACCCTTTTGTTCCAGGTGGGTTAGGCGACCGAGTGTCTCCGAGCTACCCCCCACCCCCGCCCAGACCAGGGCACAAAGAGTCCAGGCTGCAGTATTGGGGTGCGCACTGGCCTAACCTTCCGAGGCATCGAAAGCGCACAGCCGCCCCTCAGTCAAGCCGATCTCTTCAAAGTGTCCCAGTGAAAAGTTAGAAAAGACGGGCTCTCATCGGTGTATTACAATTTAGGAAATGTATTACACACTACCCTCCCAAAAAAAAAAAAACACAGGGGAGGGTAAATAATTTCAAGGACAAGCGGGCGTTTACTCCCGCAGACCAGAACGTCAGAGGGCTCTGGGTGTCCGGAGCTGCAGCGCACAACCCCATCAGCTGCTGCGGACCTAGAAAGCAGGCGAGGAGGTGACCTGCAAGGCCCGAGAGACCCAAAGACTGAAAATGCCCCCTCCCCCACGCTAAAAACTTATCAGGCGACAATTTGGCGGGCCGGGAAGGCGCATAGATAGTGGGACACCGCCTAGCTCCTAGAACCTCCTCAGTTGAGTAAGAAGGGGGGGGTTGGCCCGCGCCCCCGGGTGGCAGGGTCCCGAACTCCTGCCGACCAGGGAGCGGCGGACGCGTGGGCCAGGTCAGCTGCGGAACTAACCCTGGCGCGACCGCCGGACCCCGGCCTATCCCCTTTCCCGAGTGCGCACTTTGAGTGGCGCGCCCCTAGAAAAACCACGCAAAATAAGGTGCCGGTGCAACCGCGGCGGGGCTGCAGTGCGCCCCAGACCCCGGCCTAGGGGGCTCGTCCCCCTCCGCTGGCCTCGGTTATTTTTAGGAAGTCGGAAATCAAAGATGGCTGGAGGTCAGGCCCCGAAAGGTGAGGGCGAAGATCGTCAGGCTAGTAGAGCAGGGGGGAAAAGGCGAAAGCCAAAAAGTGAAATAAAGAAATATCGTGCCCTTCCCCCTCACCTACTGAAGCCTTCGACCACAAGAGCTGCGCGGGTGGCCCTCACCCCAACTCCGGGGGTGGGGAGAGGTCGCGCCCCCTCCCCCCTACTTGGCCCAGGCGGGACGCGTGCAACAGATCGCCTTCCTCCGTTTTTTTTCTCTAGGGGTGCGCCCCTCCTCCCGCCTACCAAAAAAGCCCCCAAGGGGTGGGGGAAGAGTCTGGGGGCTCTTTTTTTTTTTTTAATCCACATTAAGATGGGAGGGGGACCTAATTTTCAAGTGTGGGGAGACTGCAAGCGAGGAGAGTGGAACCAATTAAAAGGGGCAGAGGACTAGAAGGAATCTTTCAGGGTAAGGGGGTCAAGAGGGTGGAGGCGAGAATTTAGGGGTGAAACTTGCACAAGAGCTAAGAAGAGCAAAAAAGTGTAAATTTTCTAAGGGGGAGGGAGTTGGGGCTCTCTTTGCCCAGAATTTATCAGATCAAGGTCCCAGAATTTGGGCTCGGAAACCCGAGTCCCGAAGGGTCCCGCGAACACTCGGGAACTCCTTCGGGCTATGCAGGCGTCCAGCCCCACTCACCCGGCTCCCCCTCCGCCCGTGCCTCTGGGGCCGCATCTGCAAGCTCTGGGGTCGGCTGCTGCAGCTGCTGTTCCCCCAGGTCCTCCTCGGAGTTGATGTGTTGGGGTTTCGCCTGCTTGCGCCTCGACATGGTGCGAGCATCGGGGCGCCGGGAAAGCCGCTGCGGTTTGCCCTCTCCGCCACAAATTCCTGGAGTTGGGAAATTTACCCCCCTACGGCCGGAACGCGCATGTCCCAGTAATTATTATTATCAATAATGCATTGCGATTTATCATGAGCCCTGACAGCTGATTGGCCTGGGTCCAAGACCTCAGAGATCATTTAAATAAACCCTCATTGATCAGGGAGGGGCGAGGCATTCTGGGCTTTGTAGTCCGGTCTTACACGTGACAAAGGCGTGTTCATCAGGGGAGCGCAGTTAATTAGCATCCGGGCGCAGAAAGGCTGGAACGTGGATGAAATCAAAGGGGGTCCTCCTATCCTTGCTCCAACTATCTGAATCCTTGGAGGGGAAGAAGAGATGAAGTGTCTACTTACTAAAAACTGGGAGGTTACCTAAAAGTTTTTAGATAAGGGTGTGTTTGGCAGCGTGCTCCAAAAAAAAAAAATTTTTTTTTAACTGATCTCCTCAAGCCTGAGAAGATTAGGTGGAATATTTTGGTACAGTTTTGCCATATTAAAAAAAAAAGGCTGAGATGCGACCCTTGCCCCCTCCCACCTTCTTGTTGCTTGATTTTCAAATTAACTAACAATTGGTAGATAGTGATTTTTCCCTTCCCATCTCGATGCTTAGGTGACGTCACCTTCGAATTTCCAAAATTTCAGATTATGTCTTCACCAGAATTTACTATCTTTAAATGTAAAATAGTAGCTCCCATGAATTATAGTCACAAGGATTGGTTTGTTGTTACAATGAAGCCTTGGAAAGAGACGTTTACAGCCTCGGAAACCCACCCTATATAGGGTGGCTAGGAGTCAGAACCGGCTCCACCGCACATAAGCACCATCACCACCATATATGTAGGTGGTGGAATTGCCGTGCTTTCCGACGCTGTAAATCTTTATAGGAGCAAAAAGCCTTATCTTTTCCCCGCGGAGCTGCTGGTAAATTCGAACTGCTGACCTTTTGGTTAGCAGCCCAGTTCCTAATCCAATACAATAAATTTAAATTGACTGGCTGATAAATATAGAAATGGCAGATTAAAGCAAGAAGAGTCAGAGAAAACATCAAAACCCAAGCAATCTCGCGTTTTTTTCTCCCACCAGATATAAATGTCTGACAACAAACATCATTTAACAGAAACAGTGGGCTTCAGAGAAAATTTATATCTTCTGTGACTTAAAATTTATGGAAAATGTTGGGGTAAATATTAATCGTTATTGGAATTTCTTGCAGTACCAACTTTATTATGGAAAACATGGACTTCAAAGTGATTGTATCTTCTCAACAAATGATACCTGAGATTTCCTAAAGTTGTCTATTTGTGTGTATCTGTATACAGATCATCTATATATCATCTGTCTCTTTTTGTTGGAGTCCTGGTGTGGCACTCTGGGCTAATGCATCAGACTGCAAAGTCATTTGAACTGCAAGGTTGATGGTTCAAGCTCACCAGCTGCTCCTTGGAAACACTGTACAGGGTTGCTATGGGTTGGAGTCGACTTGACAGCACTTAACAACAATAATAATCTATTTTTATTAGGTGCCATCAGTTGGCTTTGATGCAAACACAACAAAATAAAAGACTACCTAGCCCAAAGCCCTGAACCATCTTCACAACTTAAGTAATGTTCTACCCCTTTGTTGTGGCTTGGTGTTAATGCAATAAATATGTATAGTAAATCTATACTATTTAATTCCATTCACTGCCTTGTATATAGATGGTAAATGCAAACAAAACAAAAAATGTTGAATGAATGATGGTATCTTCTTTAATCTTCTGTTGGAATGGCCACATTGCCTCTGGGGATGGGTCATCAATGGGCATTTACTTCATTGTAAGGGACTGTGGAACTACAAAACCCTCCCTCCTCATTTGTTCATTGCATCTTCTTGATTATTCATCAAGTTCTCAGCTTGTACTAGTTTCTTGTAAGCCAATAAGGAATGCAAGCAAAATAGAATGTTGGGCTCCTAAATATGTTCACCTGGGTGTTTGGACAACCCAAGGCAGAAAATAAATCAGCTTGATCATGTTTTTGGTGGGCTATCTTCACTATTGTTAATAAAAACTTACTCAAGGTTAAGCATTAACTTTTGAATCCCTCCCTGTTTGAAAATGTCTTGCATTGTTTTATGCAAATCACTTAAGGTAAATAAGATAGAATTACAGCCAACAGCCAAAGTTGGAAATAACATGATTTAATAATACATGGGAGCTGTATAGAATTCTGATTCTAAGTAAGAAGACCAATCAATTAACACTTACTTGCCTTACTGAGTAACTTACTGTGACCCCAAACAACTTTTTTGTATCTTTCGCCTGTGACAGGAGATGAAACTTACAACTTTAAATGGATATACAGTAGCTTACAGCTCAAGGAACAATAGTGGTTTCAGAAAAATTTCATTTAACACATAGCTGTTTCATATTTATTTATTTTAGTAAATGCTAGTTAAACCGTGTTAGCCATTTGAATTTAGAACTAAGGTAGTAAAATTGTGAATCTCCAAGTGATAGTCATTGACTGAGGTCTCCTACATGCCACATAACACACTTAACTACAGTTTCATTTCATCTCACCAGGAAGATTGACAATAATGTTACTGAGGCTATCCTGAGGAAACTGAGGTGCCAAGATGTGCAGTGACTTAATTCAGATGTGACTGACCTAAAAAAAATTTTTTTTAATTGGGGGACACAGAAAACATACCAGAGGGTTTCAGAAAGTTTGTGGAAAAATGCAAAGAAGAGATCATGGGAAATTTCCACGAACTTTCTGAAGCCCCCTATGTGTTAAATTAGACCTGTTCTGGAAAATTAAGCATCTGTGAAAATCACTCTAACAGACTGTGCTTTCCTCAAATGGAAGAAGAAAAGAGGACTCAGTGGAGGTTTTTCATCTACGTCCAATTTAACTACTGTTACCTGGAGCTGGTATGGGAGGAAAAAGTCATACTCACTCAAGAACAAGCCCAAGAATGGAAGAAAGGCATAGAAGTCCAGGGAAAGTCTACCAGCAAAGGTCATTTTCTAATTATTTAATATTCCTTAAAAGCCAAGAAGACCTAGATGGGACTAATTTAGAAGGAAATATCAGAGTAGAAGCTGATTGTGTTATGGTTGTTGGTTTTTTTAATCTTTAAGGTATTTGTTTAGTGCTGTCGAGTCGGTTCTGACCCATAGCAACCCTGTATAGAGTGTCCTAGGAGCAGCTGGTGAGCTTGAACCGCCAACCTTGAAAGGTATTGGTTAGGATTTATATAATCTAATCGTTTTCCAGTGTTTTGAGAAATTTACATCTTGCTATGTATTTCTGCAAGCAGATTTGGGATATGGGAACAGTAGTACTTTGGTAGTAGGATTCTTGCCTTCTAAAAGAGCTTGTGAGTTCCATTTCCAACTCCATTTGTCAAAAGAGACTTGTGTGGTGGTGTGATGAATTTCAGGAGTCTTGATGTGGTGCTGTAGGTTAATGCTCTGGACTGCAAGGTCTGTTGGAACCGCAAGGTCGGCAGTTCAAGCTCATCAGCCTATACAAGGTCGCTATGTGTCAGAACACACTCTAAGGTACTTAATAACAACAACATGGTGAATTCCTAGGAGGCTGAACAGGTCTCGACTGTGCTTCCAGATAGAGTAGGAAGGAAGAAGTCTGCTACTGAAAATCAGACAGCGAAACCCCACATGTCACCAAGATCGATCAGCAGCTGATCCTGGGCACCCCACAATACAGGGCAGCTTTTGTTCCTTTATGTGTGGGGTCTCCACACACAAGCTGAGAGGCTGACTCCTGGCAGCTAGCAATAACAATCTCATAGTACCCTCATTAAAAACCCTTTTTAAAATATACACTTCATGGATGGGAAAACTTAAGTTCAGAGTCTCTCCTCCAAGCACCTGGTAGGTCTACAGTAACTGTGTATTGAATACAGGATTTAAATCACTTCCCAACGAAAAGGTACAGGTGTCAATGAAATGCACATCTTTTAGCTCTTTCCAAGAAGCCCACCACCCTGCTCATTTTTGCCAAGAACATGTACTTCTCACCTCCCTTTACCTGGCCCTCCTCAGACTCTGGTCTCAGCTCAGACTTCCCTCCCCATCCAAATAAGGTCTTGTCTATTCCTACAGATCCTCTTAAAAGTTCCCTCTTCCTTTGGTAACACATTACAGATTTAATTATAGAAGTCTACACGTCTGTTTAAGGAGCTCTGGTAGCGTAGTGGTTACAAATCGGGCTATTATCCTCAGGGTCAGCAGTTCGAAACTACCAGCTGTTCCGTGGGAGAAAGATGAGGCTTTCTGCTCCCATAAAGATTTACAGCCTTGGAAACCCTGTACAGGGTCGCTGTGAGTCGGAACTGACTCCATGGCATATAACAACACGTCTATTTGTTGCTTGTCTGTCATACTGTAGACTCCTTGAGGACAGGTACCTTCATCAGGGTACGTAGCCTCATTAATTATAACATATTTGTGGCTATCCACTGCCCTTGAATCTATTCCAGCTCATAGTAGACCATAAAGGACGGTGTAGAACTGCCCTATGGGGTTTCCAAGGTTGTTATCTTTATGGGAACAGATAATTTCATCTTTCTCCTGTTGGATTTGAACTTTTCAGTTAGCCATGGAGCGTTTGACCACTATGTCACCAGGGTTCCTTTCAGCTGGAATGTAAGAGGGGGCTTCAAAACAAATGTGCATGGGAAAATTCAATTGTCTTTATTTTCCTCATTATTTTTTAATTCCATTTTCTCACCAATTTTTGAAGCCCACTTATAGAAGTCAAATTATGAAGGAGTGGGGGAGATAAGGAGGCAGGCTAGTTAGGAGAGGTTCAATATAAAATAAAGTGTGAAAAGGCAATTACAACCGAATTGTGGGGTTTGCTGCACAAAGTCAGTCAACTGCACGCTTAGAGCAGGTGAATTCTAGGCTATGTAAATTATACCTTAATGAACTGCTT